CTAGTTATAGTTGTGCCACTGCCTTATTAAACATTGATGATCTCTTGAGGGCTCGCGATGTCAGAGTGGAGTGGTTGTGCTCCTGGATTACAGCAAGGCTTTTGACAAAGTCAACCACCGAATGCTGTTATCCCTCTTGCATTATGTTGGTATACCTAAGTCGGCAGTGTCTCTTATAAACAGCTTCCTTTCTGGCCGAGTCCAAGTGGTGAGATTGGGAGAGGAATTGTCGGCTTCCTTACCCGTGGAGACTGGTGTATCTTCGTTAGCTCCGCTACTATTTACTCTGTACACCTCTCAACTGCCCAAATGTGTTAAACACTCATCAGTACACATGTACGCTGATGATATTTAGCTGTATTTGACTTTTCGAAGAGAGCACGCTGCCTTGTCATGTACAAAATTAAACGCAGATCTTCTAGCATATTCGGAGTACTCCATTAAATTGGTGTTAATACTCAACGCAACCCAATCAACAATAGTTACCTTTGGCAATTTATCAGCTGATAATGTCAATGTTTCATTGAATGGTGAGTAATTGGTGGTGTCTCAGGAGGCAAGAAATTTGGGAGTGGTGTTTGACTCTAATCTTCGTTTCACTACTCACGTCACTGCTTGTATAAGGAAGGCATACGACCTATGTGATGCGTTGATTTTATCCAACTTTTTGCATTGTGCGGCCATGTATGGACCATGTTTAATGGAATTTGATTTGCATCGCATTCAAAAAGTTCAGAATAGTTATCACGAAAACACCACCTTACTTGTATAATAAAATCACTTTTAGGACAGACATACATAATCTAAACCTCAGACATAAAAGCACCACTACCATACCTGCTCACAAAACAGCTCTTTTTGAGCGATCATTTGCATACAATATTATTAAGGAGTATGATGCCTGTGAAACTTTTTAAGTGTTTTAAAACTGTTTAATGTATGCAGATGATCTAAAGATCTTCTGATTAGACACACGAATCCTGGATACTGTTCTGCACTTCAGCGAAATCTATGTCAACTTGCTCAATATTGTTTGATGAACTTCATCACCATAAATTATTATAGCAAATGCTTCACAATTACTTTTACAAAAAAGCCTGGTCCTATACGCTTTGACTACATCATTGGAGGGAACAGGGTTACTTCTATAAGGGATTTTGGCGTCACGTTTGATAGTAAGCTATTATTCAATAAGCACGTCAATTTGGTGGTTGGACACTAACTCATTAATGACTCTCTATTTTACGTATGTATTTAACATTTTGAATTACTGCACTGTTGTATGGAATCCACAATATGATATATTTTATTTAAGGTACTATTATAAGTATTTTGTGTCCTTTTCCTCTTTCTTATTGTATTTTTTAGTGGCACAGCTTTAATTGGGTTTATCCTGTGCTGTAAATTACTTTAATGTTAATAAAATAAAGAATGAAGAAACATGCGTTTTGTACATATTAAAAAAAATGTGCTTAATGATGGGTATTAAAACTGTAAAGGGGGGGGAGGAGAAAAAATTAAAAGTCACATTTCGTTACTACCCTTTACTAATTAGGGGTAAAGATCGCACGCGACGCAAATTTAGCCCTCGTTTTGAGAAAACCCGACCAGGGGTCGTTATTTCACCCTCTTCAACTTTTAATTAACGAACAGTACGAATGGGGCGCAAAGACTGATTATCGTCACGTTCCAAGGACCTATGTTCGCGGTATAGCAACCCTGTTGAATTTCACGTTCTCACCTCATTATCCCTTTTCGATTCTTCACGCATTCCAAACACTCAAAGGGTGACTGTAGATTTATTTTAGTGAGTTTATCTCCTTTGTTAATATCTTTGCTGGTTTTAATCGTTTAGATAAATTTGTAGCAAATCATATTTTTATACAATTTGATTTGAATTTATTTTAGATAACTTCGAGTATTGGATCAAGTTCCGGTCGTAGATCGCAAAAGCTTCGATAACGATATTCGCAACGGGATATTGCCTAATTTCCCGTTGACGCGACTTGATGTTTATCGGGAAACCAATTATTATCATTGGATTTTTCAATACTCAAAAGATTCGCTTTGAAAATCTAATTTTCTCGTGTACATCGGAGTTGATAAAGATGCGCCGTTAAATTATTGAAAACCCAGTGAAGTGCTTAAGTTAAGTTTGAATTGAGTGTGCTCCCACAGGATGAGTAATTAGTTCAAAAGTTGTTCGACTAATATTGTTGTTGAGTTCGAGAAGTTAGTTACAGAAAGTTAACTATCTCGAAATAGTTTAAGTTTCGTACATATGTTTTAAAAATGTAACCCAAGAAAATCACAAAACTCGTTATTTCCTAAAAACCACTCGTTTACCATGCTACAAACGGGAAACTTCCACCAGTTAATATCCTCGGGTCGTAATTTTCTCTCGTCTCGCTAAATACATTTTCACTAACGACGAGTTTTTACCCTAGGTCATTAGAATACCATTCGAAAATGTTTCACAACTTGTACAATAATTCCTTTGCAATGTCTTTACGTAACATCACGTTTTACAATATTATACGGGCCATTTACCACCATAACCACATGGAATGCTCCGAATACGTGGGAATGCAGCGTCAACGACATCTTGTGTTTATCGAAGAATTTATAATGATGTGCTCATGATTAAGTTACATCATCATTATTAAACATACACATTTCGAGATGTCTGAAAAGTTTCTATCTAAAGTTATTTGCATTCGATTTGAATTTCCTTTCCCCCTCTCTCTTTCACAATTCCGAATACTGCACCAACCCCTCGAAAATGGCGTAGTCGAGACGGTTTAACAAATCGATACCCATTGCCTCGAGTAAACAGTCCCAAACAATGCGTTATGCTGGGTGGAATACCTTCACGATTTCCACCGAGTAAGAGATCCTTATGCCATGACCAAAGCTCACCGGAAACCGGAGCAGCAGCTTATGGAGCTCATAAAGCAGCTACCCCGAAACTGGTCGGGGCTGCAAACGACCAGAAATTACCCGAGCTGTAACACTGTCCTCGACGTTGACGTCGTTCCACCACTTCCGTTTAAAACTACCTCGCTTCATCTTAGTGGAAATGTCGCGAGGTCAAATCTAACTCTATAAAAGTAGTACGTATTTATGTGTAGGTAAATATGTAATAGAGATGTGGAAAGATCTTACTCAACCTATCCTAACTCATATCTTCTACTTTTATATACAGTGTGTTAATTAATTATTATACCCGACGTCATCATTGCAAGTATGCAACTAATAACACGATTTGCGTATTGCCATACGAAAACTGTGACATTTTCATATTTATTTAAATAAAGTACAAAAACGATACAATATTACGTCAAAAAAGATATTACAATAACTTGTATTTAGAAAATGAGTCGGTTAAAATTATACACAATCACAATATTCTTGGACTAAATAAAACTCCTTTTCCAGGACTTTTCCATACTTTTCGTTTTTGAGTTCTAAATTTAGTATTTGCTGATTCTCAGTTCCCTGATATATTGAAAATAGCTAACGTGGTGCCCGTGCAGAAAAAAGAAGATACTACGGATTGCTCCAATTATAGGCCAATAAGTGTACTGCCGGCTTTTTCCAAGGCGTTTGAGCGTGCAATGTATGATAAAATGGTTTCTTATATAGAGATAAATAACTTGCTTTGCCCAAATCAATACGGATTTCGAAAGGGTATTGATTTGGAGCTTGCCGAGTTGACCAAACTGATTGCATCAACACAGCTAGTCGAAGAGTGTTTTGATACAGCCTCGATTTGCGAGAAGAAAAGGTCTTCGACATTTAATGCTGAATTTTCTGTTGCGTTTTCCTGAATTTCCAGTTTCATGTTTGACAAGTTTCCAGGCAAGTCAAGGTTTTAAATGTCAACATGTTTTTAGTGTTCATTTTTCTACATTTTATTTGTATTTGTTTTTCTGCTTCAGAAGATAGTTGGAAAGTAGCAATCTGTGCCAAGTGATCTTCAAGATGCAAGTTTATTATTAGTCTGTGAATACATTGTCTACGCAGCGTTTCCCATTAATTCTTGAAGGACTGTTAAAGATAGGACGTAATCCAAACTCGGACATTCCCGCCAGGAAATCGTCTCTTATAGTACTTTTTCATTAATACAGATGTTATAATCTCCAATTACAAATATATTCTTACATCGATGTGTTTGTGTTATGTGTGTTAGTATATCTTCAAGCCTTTTAATCATCTCATTTTTGTCACCGGTTGGAGGATGATAGATACCAATTGTTATGCTGCTAAATTTTGGTAGTGCTACAGAGCAGACCTCAAAACATCTTTCTTTGTTGTAAGTAGAGATATCGATATTTTGAAAAGTAATGGAGTCTTTTACGATTATTATAACGCGTGCATGTACATTAATTGTTGGTTCTCTAAGCTGTAAGCAGCAACTGAATAATTTTGGATGTGTACTGATTGAACTTCCGATTCCTTTAACCAATATTCTGTTATGGATAGTATGTCATAGTCGGTTGATTTTTGTATGTTATACTGTAGACGATTGATTTTTGTTGAAAGCCCTTGTATATTCGAACAGTTGAATCCCGATTTATAAAAAATGTGTACCTTGTGTGTTCATAAAAGTAGAATGTCTCTTAAAATCAAATCTACGAATTGCAACGTTGGTAGGCCAGAAATCTGGTTTATAAAGTTTTTAATCTTATGAACTAAAACTAACACTAGAAACTTTCGGGTTTTGCCGTGCGTCTTTTAAGAAAATGTTTGACGTTTCGGATGCCATGTTGCAACCTTCTAGGGAAGACAGATAAATCCAAGAGGTTTTGTACTTACCGCGTCCTCCCTCTGCTATCGCTGCTTGATGGCCCGGTTGATGTCCTCAACGTGTATCCGTTCTTCTGCAGTACGCCTCGTAGAAAGTGTTGCTCCTTCCTCAAGTTATCTCTTCACATATTCTCGCTGCTCGCTGAAATAAAGTGCCGATCACGGACCTCTTCTGTTGGAGATGATGATGCTTACAAGTACCTGTTGGTATAGGTCTTCTTCCGATATACACCAAGTTCCATATCTCCACTTGTCATCCTGGTGACCAACACATCTAGGAAAGGTAGTTTTTTGGCAGTTACTGTTTCCATGGTAAACTTAATCATGGGATGTTGAGAGTTCAAGTGATCCAAGAACTCTTGGAGCCGTTTTTGACCATGTTGCCATATCACAAACGTGTCATCCACATATTGAAGCCATAATTTTGGTTTCCACTGGCTCTTCTTCAAAGCGACTTCTTCGAATAATTCCATATAGAAATTCGCTATAACTGGCGATAATGGAGATCCCATGGCTACCCCTTCGAACTGCTCGTATAATTCTCCCTTCCAACTGAAATACGTCGGTGATAAAACTGATAAACAGTACTTCATTAGATCTGGCACGTATTCTGGTAATCCCTCCGGAATGAGCTTTTGGCGGGGACCATCTACAGCATCCTTAACTGGTACCCTAGTAAAAAGGGATTCCACATCGAAACTCACCAAAATATCCTCAGCATCTAGCTTTATATCTTTTACCGATTCCACAAAGTGTGTAGAATCCCTGACATACGATTCGGTATTCCCTGTGAAAGGGGGCAGAATCTTTGCAAGATTTTGGCCAACTTGTATATTGGAGAGTTGATGGCACTGACGATAGGGCGGAGGGGGACGTCTGATTTATGAATCTTCGGTAGTCCATAAATTCTTGGTGGTACCGGCGCCTGCACAAACAACCTTTCTGCTGTTCTGCTGGAATTCCTATGGATTTTATCAGGTCCTTCATTTTTCTTACGATTTTGTCTGTGGGGTCCTTCCTGTAGATGGCTGGTTCCAGTAGGTTCATCATTTTGTCGTCATATTCTTTTTGTCCAAAACCACGGTGGCATTCCCTTTGTCTGCTGGTAACACGACAACTTCAGACTTTTCTTTAATAGATTGAAGTGCCTTCTTTTACCAACCGTCAAGTTGGATTTCGGCGGTTTTGCTTGGAACGAATTGCCAGGCACACTCCCGATAGCCCAGGACAAACTAACGCCATTAAAAGGAACGGGAGTCTACCGACTATCGTGTAGTTGTGGGAAGGTTTACGTTGGCCAAACTGGACGTAACGTCGAGTGCCGCATCAAGGAGCATGAAAGGGATGTAAGGTTGAAGAAGATCCAGCAGTCGGCGGTTGCGCAATATTGCCATGCAGAGGGACACCGAATAGACTTCGAGCAAACAAAGGTACTGGCTAGGGACAACACATATCACTAGCGACTGACAAGAGAAGCCATAGAGCTCCACCTACATAGAAATAACGTCAACAGAGAGGATGATGGCTGGGAGCTTAGCAGAACATGGAAGATGGTGGTGAACACAAAGACCTCCTCCCGCCTCACACCGGAGGCGACGCAATTAGTTAACAATTAGCTTTAATTGATTATTAAAGGCACCTTAATTTTTCGGCACCTTAAAAGCAGACATCTGGGGTCTCAGCTGTCCTGAGCCTTTTTTGTCTTTGGTTTTCCCGGTTCGATCGTCTTGGAACTTGTTGCCATTCTCCGTCTTTATCTAAATTTATTATTTTTTCAGCTAACATTTTAATTTGCTGTTCATGCAGGACATTTTGTACTTGTTGTATAAAAATTTATTCTTTCTCTTTGTCTATTTTAGGTAATTGCGGTACGTTATGACACTTACCGCAGTTTTGTTTACAGTACTTGCGGAGCCCTCTTTTAGGTTCGTTTGCAACTTCTTTTTATAGGTTATGTTATTTATATTTCATTTTTATATTATTATTACGCTTTTCATGATTCAGAGATTCGATTTTTCCATACAATTCTTTAATAAGAAGATCCTTTGCATTAATAGTTTCTTCTTTCGCACGAATTTCTATTAGTTGTTTATATAGGGTCTCGATTTTATTTATAACATCTGTTTCTTCATGTTTTTCTGCTTCGCAGCACTTTATTAAGCTCGATTTTGTTGTTTTGGCTTCTTTGCAAGGCCTCTCTTTACACCCCGTGTGGTAAGCTTCGCCGCAATTAACACACACGACAGTTTTCAACACTTTACTTTTGCAGCACTTATAAGTGGCGTCAACTTCGTCAGCCATTTTTGATTACATTGGTTGCATACTTGCAATGATGACGTCGGGTACGATAATTAATTAAGACAGTGTACTCTTTCCTTATTAGTAAAAATAAATAAAAAAAATTAGTGAGTTTAGATACTTGTAGATTATAAAAAGGGTAAAAATATCCCTGGGGTAAGGTAAAGAATAAATCTTCAAGGTCTGCAGATTCAACGTACCGAACGTAATTACTAGAACCGAGTAAACTTGAAGTTAGTAGAGAGGTGGAAGGAAAAAGTGGAAAAACCCGTTAGCTTTTTTACTCACAAGGCAGGAGTAGGTACGCCGTTCCACGAATGATAAAATTGGAAATTAGGCGCCATCTGGGAAAAGGGGACAATAACGCCTCGGAAAAGCTTTAACTTGGCAAGCTAAAAACTTGGAGCGTAAATGCGCCGTTCGTCCGTTAATTTGACTGCATTCGGCGTACTACAATTTCCCTATTCCTTTTATTATGAGCAACTCGACGTTTGGTGGAACACTTTGAGTACTAGATGAAAAGGGCAGTTTAAAAAAGAAAATTATAAAGTTGTGCTAAAATATACATTATTCACGAGAATAACTTTATTTGCTAATCGAGAATCAGACTTAACCCGACGAGGATTTACGATTCCTCGACACTATAACATGGAATTTCAAAGCGAATCTGGTTACATCCGAAACCATCTGGCGTATGCCACATCAGTTATGGCACAACGCGGCGCGACGCCACAAATCCCAGAGTAATTGTAGGCTTACATCAAGTATTCAACAATTTCAAACTCCCACTATTCCCTAATAATAAAACAAAAATTGACTCACCTAAAAATCGTTTTTTCTTAATCCCTCCAACACTTCTTACATCTAAAACAAAAAAAAAAGATTTTTTAAGAATTTCAAATAAGAAATATTCGAATATGCAAGTAAAGGGGTGTTGTAGGAAATGAGGTCGTAATATTCATCAAAGAGCGTTTCACACAGAGCGACGTCGTTTTCTTGTCGACGTCTTTGTCGTCAGACGAGAGAATGCCGTAATTCCCGTTCGTATTTTTAATTGCACCCCATCAAGAGCTGAGAGCGCGACGAAAGCAAATGGGGAAAAAAACTAGGAATTTTCCCGAGCCGCCGTTCTTGATGGAAAATTGCACCTCAGGACACTACTATTACTTATAAAAGCAAAAAAAAAGAATGAATCGCAAAATGGACCATCCGATCCAACAAAAAAAATCTTATTGTTCGCTTTTGCTTCATTTTCTCCATTTAAGTTCGTATTTTTAAATAAAATCTTATCATAGATCTTGTAGATTAAATCTTTTGGGACATGGTGAAAAAGCAATTTTCGATCTCCCTTTAACGACACGTTTGGGTCCCTTAAAACTAGTTAATGGAAAATTAAGTAACGTCACGAGGTTCCATTATGCTCTCGATATTACTTGATAAAACGGCGAGGCAAGGAAACTACACGGTAATTTAACCGTTTTAATATGCAGTTCGTTTATGGTTTTTCTTATTTTACGGCGATTATTTTTTACTTTTTGAAATGTAACCATTTCAAACCGAGACGTTCATTAATATTTTACACTGAGTACCAAG